TTTTATAAATAAATCTTCAAATTGTATTTTTTTTTAGAAAACATAGTTCAAAGCATTGAACTTCTCCAATTTGTATTTCACTTCGTCGGTCATTGCTCTCACTCGATCCAAAGATCTTCAGAATATCTGGCTCTGATACCACTTGTTAGGAAAAATTTAGACGCGGAAATGCAGAACGCCGATTCAAGAGATCCAAATCAAATCTTAAAACCAAGCACACAAAGTAGGTACATAAGAATGCACAAGAACATAAAGATTTAATGTGGAAAAATCTTATAATGGGAAAAAAATTGTAGAGTCACAACACACCAAGAAATCCATTATGAAGGAATGCGAAGAAATGTATAGATTACACCACACCTAATCCTCTCTATAATTTGGAACGCTCGAGTCGTTCCTCTCTCTCTTTCACACAATAGACACCTAATCCTCTCTATAATTTGGAACGCTCTGTCGGTCAACTTATTTTTCGATTGATTAATTATGAGAAATCACGAAATCTTTCCTTCAATGCCTAGACACTTCATTCACACTTCCTTCTCGTGCCCTAAAAATGAAATATAAAGTTTTGAACTATAGAAATACAATTACAAGCGCCTTGGCATCACCCCTGGAGCTCTGGGTTTCTAGGTGCACTGCTCTAGGGAATGATTCGGGAGCAGCAGTACTCTTCTTGGGTGCCAGGATTTCTGGCACATTATTCCTGGGTTGCTAGGGCCTCAACTGACACTGGGCTTTTGTTGCCAGGTGCTAGGGGGCCTCCCACGGTGCTAGGGCGCTAGCTGTCAGGCTCCAGGGCACCGGAGGTAGGTACTTTCTTTGTATCTCATTTTTCATTTTCTCCCAAGTGGTGATCTCGCTCCGACATTCTCTCTGTCTCTCTTCTGTTTTTCTCATCACAAAGAGACGCCTTCTCCAGCTTTATGACAACATGCTTCACTCTCCTATCAGTTGACACCTCATTGTACTAAAAAATTCTATCAATAATCTGCAACCACTCAATGATGTCATCCATATTTATTCTCCCCTTGAAATCCGATAGGCCTATCTTCACTCTCATGTTTCTCTATCACTAGAATTCACTACATCCCTCGACCTTCTCTGATAATAAATCCCAAAGCGCCATGGCCTTTCATCCTCTTCATTTGAATACGGAAGGGGTTCAAATTTTCCTCTCTCTCTGACTCTCACTATCACAATCGAAGGTGATCTTTCCATTAGTCCTTTCCTCAATTTCAGCAAGCCTTTGCTGAATTTGGTGGATTTCCTGCTGCATCTCTTTCATTGTAAGTTCCTACGACTTCTGATACTTATTTCCTCATTGGAATGGCTAGGGTTTAGGTTTGAGAGATGAAAAATGGTGTATGAGGTTGATTTAGGGTGGAGAAAAAAATTTTTTGGTTGGCTGATTTGAAAAATCACCTGCAATGGGATGGTTTTGGGTAGTGTTTGGGTTCGGTATGGGTGGATTTTAGTAGGCCTAGAATAGGACGGGGATTAAGTTATTTTTGATACCAATGATATTAAAGTTTTCTATTAGGGGTGTGGAAGGGCAGGAACAAGATAGGGAAGTGGAGCGGGTGGCGGGCTCGAGAGGGAAATTAATATTGACTTGCTGTTTTGAGTGGCGACAAGTATGGAAGTGTGGTGGACCGCAGGGAAAACAACTGGAAGGCAACATTTACTTGATGTCCTGGGTGACAACAAGTTTGGAATTGGAGCAGGTGTGTGGGGAAAACAGTAGGAGGCACTATTCTGGGCGGCGACGACAAATAAGGGGTCAGCGTGAAGCGATGCGGAAATGAAGGGGAAGTTAGGTGGAAGGATAATCACAATTTCAGGAGCGAGATATTGCTGGAGCGCCACTCGAACTCTTGGATATATCCCTAGACGAGAAAATCGAGATGTCAACAGTTGTTTCACAACATCGCATGAAAACTTTAAGACACCAACAAAACAAATAAATAGACCTTCGATAACTTGAAGTGGGCCCCTTCTAAAAGAAGAAGCGCTACTCCCAGCTAGGGACGATCAACCATCACAAAACCTGAACAGTGCAGTTGGGCATCAGACACTCGCATCATTCGGGCTACAATTATGTAATGTTCCATTTCAGTTACCGGGGTATGAGGAATCAAACATCCAAAGAGTGGGAGAGGAAACAAAGAGCTGAACAAGGGGAAGAGGAAACAAGGGAAATCGAGGAAGCTTAAGAAGAGGAATCGAACAATCGGGAAGATGAGGCGAGGAGTCAATAAAGTTAAATGAACATCCCACCAAACTATAAAATTTGAGATTAGGCTATAATCTCCGCATTTAAAGCTTAACCGAAATCACGTGTAAAATCATTTTATCCCGTGCTTGCTCACCTTCATCTCCCTAGCGCGTAATTTCTTGCGAAAACCCATCATGTTTCATACTTTCGTTTGGTCACTGCTGCCTCACTCGTGCTTCTGACTATAATACACTGATCATATTCCATGCATTCTCTGCCTTACAACTTCCGTAAGTTAATTTATTGCATCAAATGTTTCTCTTTTACCTTTTCTTTCTCAATTTACGTTTCTTATCTCTTTAAGTAAGTTTCTTGTCTCATGAAATTCACTGCTAGAATGGCAGAAGAAGCCATGAGGGCACCATCTTCAATGTGATGCTTCGTCTTCATCATAGTAGATACTAGGGCCTGTGTGCGAATAGGACCAACAACAATGGAAGTTGTTCACGAGGGGTGCTCTACTTCAATCATGCGGCTCGAGTGGTGGTCGACTCCATGGCCGTCGAGATGAACATTGGGCTTGAATCGGATGGGGTTAGCAAGCTCAAGAGGCTTATTTCTTTCATAGATAGCCTTTTGGACGATTATAAAGCTTGAATGCGTTTTTATTTTTCTTGAAATAGGATGCTAGAGCCATGAGCTCTCACTATTTATAGCTGTGGCATACATGAGTGCAACTGCTATGGCAGATTCCTATTTAATTGTGTTTTCATAACATAAAACATGCATCGACTGAAAGATCTTTTGCAATCGAGTTCAGTTCCTAAAGCAATAAAGTTTTTGCATCATTTGCTTTTATGCCTTTTTCAATTCATCTTGTTATCATTTTCAAAAGCTTTGCAAGTATTACAAAATATTTTTAAACAGAGTACATTCCAAGTTATGGTATTTTACTAATAAACGGCAGAAATAATTTTAAAGTCTAATTGTTTCAAAGTAATTAGGTGGTATGTATGTAAACGCCTTTTTTTTTGTAAGATTTGCATATATACCACTCAATTTTTATGTATTTACATATCTAACATGTAAAGTTCAATTTTTACATACATGCCCCCTTTTTTATTCATGATAAGATTTGTTTCACTTTTTAAAAGGTAAACTGGTTGTTTTTTTGTGTGTTATGAGAGCCGTGGGTGTTATAAATGTAAAAGATAAAAATTAAGTGTTTGATTTTTAAATACATAGGAATTAGGTGTTATGCAGGTAAATACCCCTTTTTTATTTATTTGGAAGATTTGCATAATTAGGTATTTTTATGTATGCGCATATCTCATACCTAAATAGGAGAATTAGGTGTTATGTATATATTTGAATTTTTCGGAGACTCATACAGGGGCCTTAGAACCTCTGGTACACTCCAAGTCTAGGAAGAAACAGTTGGTATCGTGGTTGTCGATCACATGATGTGCTAACTGTTATTCCTGCTGTGGAAATATAGAACTTGTATATATACAGGTATTTTATCCCTTAGATGACTTTTCTTGTACATCCATGACTGTTTAATCATGTTTTACAAACATAGCATCCACAAATAAAATTTCAAATTTGATATTACAAGTATCAATTGGAAACAAAGTACAACCCGATCCGGGTTTGATTGGAGTTGGATTTGATCAACTTTGATATCATCGGGCTCATCTTATTGAGATGATTAGTTCGATTATAAACTTTTTGAAATCGAGGCTTGAATAATTTAAATTGGAATTTGAAAGATTATTTTTTAAAAATGCATAGAGATTCATGCTTGATGATATAAATTTTTTTATGACACATCAATATGATAATGCACATCATTTTATTACAAAATTTTAAATAATTATATAATATAATTTATTTGTATTTATTTTACAAACAACCAAACAATCTCAAGTATTTCTAATACATTGTTTTTTATTTTACTTTACATGCATATAACCAAACAGGAAAAATAATTTCATTGTATTTACTTCATAGACAACTAAGCAACCAAATAGGGCATATTACACTGTAATTATAATACACTGTATTCTATAATACTCTGGATTTTTTTTTACTGACAACCAAACAATCCCTTAGTATTGTTTCACATTTACTTTCTACTATATGTAGATTTGGATTCCGTTCTTGCTTCCTCATGCACTAAGTTATATGTAACAAGACAATATTCATGATATTTTTTTTATTCCGTTGTCTATATAAGGTTTCATATAGATAAAGATCCTTGCTTACCATATGTACCAAATCTGACATAAAGTGGCATACCTAGAATTTTTACCGACTTTTTTATTGGAAGAAATTTAATACTGATTTTCTTGCATTGGATAATTTTAAAGTCAAAGCTTAAGATTGGTTGATTGCTCGTCAATTTATTTGGATAATCGTTCAAGTTAACGGAAAAAAAAAAAATAGCTCCTTTATAGGAATGAAGGAATTATAGCCTGACTCTCCAATTCTTTGTAAGTCGATTTGGGGCTAGCTGAACTTCGTTTCATGTAAAAACTCCCTCGTTGAACAACCACTATTTAAGAAAAGAATTAATAATGATGGGTTTATTATGAAATATTCATGGTCTGTATTGATTTTCGTGTTTATTTTGTGCATTTGGGGTATATATAATTAAATAGAAAGCAATTAACTAAAGTGGCTCATTTCAGTGAATATCTTGCTAGGTTTTTTGTGCTAATGAAACTTGACATTCTTATTCTTTGACACCGAAGTATACATTTCTCATTATTAATCTTTATAGGTTGGATCTAATTCTGTACAAGGAGCTGGTGCACCTACTATGTTCCAAGCCATGAAACGAATAGTTAGTTGCTTAGCTAATGATCAAATTGGTGAGGGAGCTTTTGGGCGCACAATAAGGTCATCTTTTTTAGGTATTTCATTGCAATTTCTATTTTTCAAAATTTGATTCGGACTCACTATAGCTAATTCAGATATTTTTGATGTTAAATAGAATCCAGAAAATTTTTAAACCTCATATGTTGATCAGAAATATATTGACACGCACATTTACAACACCTCATTTTTTTCCCTTTTTCCATAAATATCTTACCTGATTATCTATACCAATTCGCTTATAGAGAATGCCACCTAAGAAATATGCTCCTTTGGATATTAACTTGATTTAAAACCGTATGTGATATATTTTAAAATCTTCAGATATCTTCCAATTTGTTTTAATATTTATTTTATGATGATGAATGTTAAGATGGATGTGATAAAATTTGGAATGATAGAATATATATAAATTTTGTTTGTAGACTTTTTTATTGGAACAGATGAAGTTCTATGAAAATAGGTTTAGGCGGTTCAGTAGATCAACGATAAGAGCAACGATAAGAAGGAGCTCGATAATAAGAAGGGTAGATAGAACTGATTTGAATGTATGGAAATGAATTGTGGAACAATTTGTTATAGAATGTTGGATCAACTCACATGAAGTTGTATAAAAATTGGCTTTAGGTGGTTTTGGAGATCATCCATAAAAGCGAGATTTAATAATAAAAAGGGTTGATAGAACTAGCATGAATGTATGAAAATGAAATTGTGTATAACAAATTTAACGTGGCTAAAATTTTTTTTGTAAAGGTTAATAGAAAATAGAGTTAACACCATGTTCAATACTAAGTGGGAATGAAGAGGGAGGAGGTTTTACAAAACCAACCCTTGCGAAAATGATACTTGGTATATTATGACCATGATTCATGAGGATGTATATCGTAGTTTAGTCAAACATAGTGTTTGATTCATTCATCATTATGACAAAATTGATCTTACTGTTTTAGTTAGGCAATATAATATGATAAAATAATTGATTCGTACCTCACTTCTACAGCTTTAGCAATAACTTTTGCCAGAGGAAACTTTCTAGTGAATGAATGGGTACCGTTGACGCAAGACGCGTTTCTTCAGGGTTGTGGATGTCGAATCTCTCGTTTACCGCGAGATAGTGGATCATTCCATGATTGCAGGATGCAGTCCCTATCCAACTTCTACAAAATTTTATTTCCTTTTTTATTTCTTTCCCATTTCCCTATTTCCTAATTAGGTATTTTTTATTAGGGGACTTTTATATATGTTGTAATGAGGCTATTTGGCTTTTTTTTATTTTATGAATTAAGAGATGTTTCTTTGAATTTTGCTCTTCTGAGTGTTATATTCTCTTTCTTTTGTAAGTGGTGTATTTGTATCTTGCTTAGGAACTAGTGATGGAACCTCATTACGACTGGTATCTTGCCTTTCTCCCTTTTCACCATTCAACTTGCGGATTTCAAACAGTACAACCGCTGACGACGTCAAAGTTGTTGTCGAATAGATTTATCTCAGCAATCTATTCTAAATGTCATTGATCACACATGTTAGCCTTCTCTCCCTATTCCATAACCACCTCCAAGTGAAATTTGCTTTCTAAGTTCCTTCTAGGAGTCCTTGAAATGTTTCATCTGGTATCAAAGCTTGATTAACCCTAAATTTTTATGCATTTATCTTTCCTACATTTAAACCAAGATTCCATACAACCTAACCTAACACCCTCATCAATTTTTTTTTTCTTAGGTCATTTCTACCTCAGTTTGTTACCTCAATCCTATATTTTTAAAATCCAATCATTCTACATTCACCAAAAATCCATCACCATAGCTACCACCTACCCCTGACCAACCTTGATTTACAACCCTACACCCTTCGAAAATATGATTAGGATAAAAGGATGCTTTACCGCCAAGGAAAAACTTTTAGCGAGGTGTCCAAAGAACTTTCTATGGAGGATATGAAGCGAAAAATCCTCTAACTGCAACAAGGAGTTGCCGCTTTTGAGAGATGACAAACCAGAAAGGTCATCCGTAGCCACAAGGTTGACTCGCTGGATTGAGGGGTGGAAGTAAATCCCTTCCATCGAGAAGTTTTCAATAAAGAAAATTTGATGTCACGTCGATTTGACATGGAATATCAGAGTAGCGAGGTATCTTGGAGGATTGAGATCGTCCATTAGGAATGTGGTATAAATGTTATCGTATTGGCCCTTTCTCGATATACAAACCCTGGCTTTGAAAATGGAGAAACAAAATCATTACCAGGTGATCGTCACTCCTTGCAGACATAATTCAACCTTAGGATCATGTATTAAGAGTACACCTAGTGGAGCATTCAACCCGCCTAAGAATAAATCCGTCCAAAGTGGAGAAAAAGTGGAGTCCACTAGTGCCAACGCTTTGAGATCTGTCCCAACCCAAAAGTGTTTCAAGTGTCATAGCTTTGGTTATATTGTATCAGATTGCCAAAACAAGATGATGATATCTTTCACTAAGTAGGGAGCAATTGAAGGAATTTACAGTGACATATGAGAGCATAAAAACGTCAAAGAGGAGTATCAACTCACAACCGACAACCGACAAGGGAGAGATGCTAGTGATTCAAGTTGAGCCTAGCCTAGGAGATAGACTCTAGCCGAATTAGCATTGGTTGTCCTAGAAGATGGAGAATTTAAGGAGCCAATACTAGAAAAGGACAACCCCGGTTGAAGGAGTTGTCAAATATCTTGAGTGAAAGTTTACCTTCTGGATGGCTACCGTAGAGATTTTTAGCATGTCGTAGATCTCATTCCAAGATTTTGTTTTTGCTAAATCGACATTTTATTTAATGCACCCAACTGATTATGAGAAGTGGAAGAAACATGTTATATATTTAATGGCTCGTGAGAATACTCATCTATATACAATTTCTCGCTTTGGTTGTGCCAAAAAGATGTATATTTATTCTATTAGGATAGACTTTGGAAGGATGTTTGTGTTTTAAAGCTGTTTGAAGTGGACATTAGCATAAATTTTGCAGTGGGATTGCCTCAAGCATAGTAAGATGATACTTTTCTAATGGTAGGTTGATTTCAGAAGCTTCGTGGTAGAAGGCAAAACTCTTCTTTTGGAGAATGGCACGAGAAGTGTTTCTTCAGAAACGCGGGCGCGGGATCTCGCATTTACCACGAGATCGCAGGATGCCATTTCGCCCAGGATGCAGTCCCGATCCAACTTCTTCAATATTTGATTTTCTTTTTTATTTTTTTCCTATTTTCTTATTTTTAAATTAGGTTTTTTCTATTAGAGGACTTTTCTGTATGCTAAAGCAAGGCTATTTGGTTTTCATTTTTTTTTCTAATTTTATAAATTGAGAGAAGTTTCTTTGATTTTTTTTTTTTTTTTCCAGACTGTTGTATCCAATTCTTTTGTAAGTCGTGTATCTGTATCTTGATTAGGAGAAGGTGGTGGAATCCCCTCGCCGCCCATATCTCGCTCTTTCGATATCCTAATTGCTGATTTCAGCCGGGACAACTGCCGACGACGCCGAATCAGCTGTCCAACAACAGATTTTTTTCACACGATCCATTCCAAATACTATCGACCTCACATATTAGCCTTCCCTCACCATTCAACAACCACTTCCCAACGAATTCCGCTTCCCAAATGCCTTTCAGGAGTCCTAGAATGCTATCAACTTTGGTAGTGATTATTCTGTGGAAATTGTACCATACTGTATGTTGAACAGAAAAAATAAATTTTACATCGAGTAAAACAGTGCTTCATTAGTGGCCCATTTTAAATTTACAGCATAAAACTTAAGCTTCCAACATCGTTTCGACAATTACATGCTTTCAAAATGAATGTATAAAATAGGCATCAATTTATATTGAGAATTTATCGCAAATTTCACGAACCTTTAAGTTACTGCTCATCTGATTAAACAATTGCATACATATCCGACATGGAACTTTAAGTTAAGTTCAATTCTTTTGTTCTGATCACCACTAAAACCAAAACACATAGTTTTGCACTTGTAATTTAAATTAATCTCGATCTATGGTTCCAAGTTGTAAGGTAGGTCCCCTAGGATACTTAGAATAGGCTCCACATAGTTCAATCAGAGGCTTAGTTGTACAATAGTGTTGACTAGGATGAAAATTGACTAGTTTGGCTATATGATTCATATGTGCTCCCCTATGGTTCACTTGATTAATGTAGGTTTCCCCGGGACATTTTAGTGTGGGTTTAATTTTATTCTCTTTATATGCTAGCTCAATGGGTGAATCGGAGGATGACTAATTAACTCAGTCTATTGTATAAGCTAGGCCTGAGCTAGGATCACAACATTGTATGAGTTTAATCACATTAGGTGTGTATGATACCTAGATGGCTGAGAAAAAATAGTGATATGGTAGAACAAAATGTTTTGATGTGAGGATAGGTAATCATCAAAACACGAAAACGTGTTTTGAAGTTCGTGTATGATACCTAGATGGCTGAGAAAAAAATAGTGGTATAGTAGAACAAAATGTTTTGATGTGAGGATTGGTAATCATCAAAACACGAAAACGTGTTTTGAAGTTAAGTACTTGACTAGACGTTTGATTAATTATGTTTGTTGCAGTAAGAATTGCTTCTTCTAAAAAACATTTTGGAACTTGACGGGACATCATAATTAAGCGGGATATCTTAGGGAGATATTTGTTCTTTCTCTCAGCTATACTGTTTTGTTGTGAAGCATCAATACATGAACTCACATGAATACTTTCTTTTTTTTAAAGGTATGACCCAAGGATGGAGTTGAGATATTCCTTTACTTTATCAATTTTTTGTATCTGAATTTTGCATTGGAATTGAGTATGTCATTGAAGGTTTGAAATATTCAGGATGTTTTAAATTTCTCCTTCATTAGGAATACCTCAATAGTTATAGTGTGATCGTCAATGAATGAGACAAATCATCTGGCGTCACTTAGAGTTTTCACTTTGGAAAGTCCCCAAACTTCGTTGTGGATAATGACAAAAGGGTTTGAGGGTTTGTACTGGGTTAGAGGATAACTATTTCTAGTGTGTTTAACAAGTTAACAAATCTCACATCAACAAAAATTAAGTTTTTTATTGATAAACAAATGAGTATACAACTTAAAAACATAATTGAAATTAGGATGACCCAAGCGATAATGTTATAATGAGACCTGATTTTTTATAGACATAAAATCGACAAACTTGAAAATGGAGGTGGGTCATTTGTGTGTTTAGAGAGAGACTTTTCTTAAACTGGTATAAGTTTTGATATATTTCTAAACTGCCAATCACTTTCCCCAATTCCAACACATAAAATTCAGAAGAATTTGTAAGGAATTTAGTTATACATTTCATATCATGAGTAACCTTACTGATTGAAATTAAATTACAGTTCAACTATACAAATTGAGGAATGAGTAATATTTTAAGAGAGCTCTATATCTTCTTTCCCCGCAATGTCTGAGTGTGTCCATCTGCATGTTTTACCGTTCTAAATGTAGAAGCTTTTTGATAGTTGACTAGAGCATTGATGTCTTTAGATATATGATCAGAGGCTCATGAATCTATAATCTATGTTTTAAATTTTTCATTACTGGCAAGATGAGAGAATGATATATTACCTTGGTGGGTTACGAGTTAGGTTACTGCTTTGAATTATCTCCCAATAGAATTTTTCAGTAGTTCAAGCTGTTCCTTTAGAGCATGGTTAAGCCGACCCGACGAATGTGGTAGCAACATTAGTCTTTTTTTCTCTTCATCTTTCCTTCCATTTCTTGGTTTCCGTCTACAGGCTTTCTATGAATTTTTCAATATTTTTCCTTGATATGTCTAATCTTCTTGCAATAGTCACATGTGGGACGATTTTTCTTGTGCTTTGAGACATATGAGTAATTATGAACAATGTTGTGAAAACCGAATTGGGCATGGAACCGGAAAAATTAAATGTTCAAGGTTCAATGGTTTAATCGGGGTTGAACCGGATTACATAATATATATTTAAATTATTTTAATATAATTTAAATAATTAAATAATAATATATTAATATTATTTTTATCTATTCAATAAATAAAATTTTAATTTAAGATAATACTATTGAATACTTTCAACAATATTCTAAATAAAAATTTAAGACGTGATATTTATATTTTTTTAATTAAATATCTTATTTCTGGTCATGCAATTAAAATCAAAAGGCTAAAATTGAATAATATCTGAACTGATCGGTTCTTTAAAATCCGGTCTGGCTCACTGATTTTGACCAATTAAATCTCGGTTCTATGCTTAAATAGTTCTGAGCTTGGACTGAATCGATTGAATGATCAGTTCATCATTGCAATTTTAAAATCATGATTATGAGTGTACAAGGACGAGCTTTCATTACTTGGTGATCCCTCATTTTTAGCCAGCATTAGCTTCTTTTTGCTCTTTTCTCTCCCGACTTTAGCAAATGATTCATGGGTAGGTGGAAGAGACTTTATTCCCAAGATCCTCCTTGTCACCTCATCTAAATTCTGAGTTAGTCCTACCCCGAATCAGCTTGATTTCGATAACTTTGAAGTGTTTTCAATGTTGGAATATGTTTCCCATGCAACCACCCAGTTTCTTTGGCATTTTTGTGGAGTAAAAAATTTTCTCCCACTTCAGTGGTCATCAAGTTGACTAGCCAAGACAACCATATGATCGATTCTTTCATGTATAGTGGTTGGGATCAGTGATCTAAGGAACTATGTCTTTTTCTGTGAGATGTTCTTCTTTCTCTTTACCACAAATATAAATAAACACTGGGTGGGACTATTGAGGGTAATTATGGTCATTGAGTTTATGATTTGTGATAAAGTTTGAGAATTTAGGAGTTGTCTGGACAGAATCCATTGTCTCTGATTCAGAATTATCCTCCGGAGTAGAATTTGAAATTTTCATCCTATGTTTGGTCATCAACCCCAAAAGTATTTAGGACTGCTTCTAGTTGACTGCAGTGGTGAAAGTTGAGTGCAGTTCCTGCAGATAGATGGAAGGTTGCTGTAGGAAAGGAAGAAACGAACGACTACTCATGTTGTTGCTTGTCTGTCGGTGTTGCTCATGTTGTTTCTTACCGCCACTGTTTTTGCTGCTGTTGCTATTATAGGAAGATTACAATGATTGAAGAATGCAGAGGAGGGCTGCAGTGAGAGTTCTGGGAGGAGGAGAAGATCAAACAGGGGATTTATGTTGCAGGGAGGAGCCGAGAAGGAGGCCTGAAGGGAAAAGGGGACACACGGGGAGGAGTTTCACAATAGAGATAAACAAATTTTGGCTGTTGTAGGGGAAAAAAGATGCGGGGAGGAGTTCCGCTGCAGGGAAGAGTAGATTCCGGCTTGCTGCTGCTACAGGGATGAACAATTAATTCCTCTGCTTGTGGCCGACATAGGAGATTTTCCGAGTTGGCGGAAGAGATAGGGACCTGCAGCAGAGATCTAGTAGATAGATTCTAGGGTTTATTTTAGGGTTTTTGATACCATGTAGAAAATATGGTTTTAAGAGGAATAATTTCTATGATTGTATTATTTACATGTAGCATGCATATATATATATATATATATACAACAACAACAGCAACAAAACCTTTATCCCACTAAGTGGGTCAGCTGCATGAATATATAGAAAGAGCAGCTCGTGGCTCCTTACGCGTTAATATCAAAAAGACTTACTATAGGTTAGTGGGAAACGTGGCTCCTCGCTAAAAAAAAAAAAAAATACATAAAATCCTAGAGGTTCCATTTTCCTCAATACAACTCCACCCAAAAAAGAAAAATTGCTGGAATAAAAGTAAAATTAACCTATTTATACATGTATCAAACCAAAACGTATACCTAAAAGAGTGACATATACCTTCTATGAGCATGTATATCAAAAGAAACAAAAATAATAGAATTTGTATGCCAACCAACGACATCTCGAAAGCAGGAAATCGCAGTCTGACCCAAAGAGTCCAAAACCTGCAACTCAAAAAGACTGAAGAAACAGTAAATCCAAGTGGTTAGAATAGAAGTAGTGGTCCTCGTTCCTCCAACCCCCCCAAGCAGCAAAGACAATCCAACCGGGCCTAAAAAGCGCACCCGTAAAACCAGTCCTATTGCTGTATCCCCCAAGTCTCCAATATAGAACCTCCAAACCATCATCACAAATGTATCAAAGGAGCTTTGGGCCTCCATGCTTAAAATATAATACCAAACAAAAAACACCCAACACAGTCCCCCAGCCCGTAACCAGAGAAAGTCCCCAGCTCCACAACCACAACCACCAACAAATAGGGAGCCCTGGGCCTCCGCATGCATATATATATATATATATATATGGAAAACAATCCCTCTAATTTAAAAGTTACCAAATATATGTAACTTAAATTAGGAAAGGAAAATAAATAAGTCTGAAATTAAAAATAAAATAGCATTGAATCGGAAAGGAATAAATAAATCAAGTGTTTCCTAAGTTGTCCAAATCAAATCGTCAACCAGATTTTCTCAAAGTTTTTTAAGTTGCCGGCACGAGAGAGAGAGAGAAATTTCTACACTCACAATCTTCACCTTCTAATATTTTTGGGCTTATACCCTAACCAATGATTTTGCAACCATATCAAAACCAATTTTGTTTTTATTCTTTAACTATTATTAATAAGAAAATCATAAATGTACCGCAGAAGTATTATTTTTAGCTAGTCATATTAATTAGTTTAACTTATAAATGACAATCAGGGTCTTTCCTTTAAATGCTCGAAACATTTTTCTTCTCGAAGACCAATTTTCAAAGAGTTAGCGTAATATGATAATATAGAGCGTCATACTGCAATGAATATTATGAACAGTATTCTTGTAGATGCTTGCTAGTAGTTTTTTACTTAATTGATTTTCAGCCATATATTTTCATGTAAGCCCGATGATGAAAAGAACTGTGGCTTGAAAAGCATTTGTTTTTAACTTTTTATACTTGGCGCTTATTCAAATTTAAGCTATTAGTTCTTAATACGTCATCAGGGTAAGTCCTTTGCTTTTCTCAGTCTCTGCAGACATGGCTCATGGAGTGCACCCAAACTTCCTAGACAAATATGAGGAGCACCACAGGCCAGAACTACAGAAAGGGCTAGTTATTAAACATAATGCTAACCAACGCTATGCTACAAGTTCTGTGACTGCATTTCTCTTTAAGGAAGTGGCAAAAATTTATAAAATTCCAGTTCAGGTAGTGCTCATTGAATTATGATTTATCATAGAATTTACTATGTTTACTTGAACCTCACAATTCTTTGTACTGCATTTTATCGTGCCACATAGAAATTGTATTTGTTGAGGAGCTGAAGGTCTATATACTCATTTTTGCTACAATCTTTCCATTTTGATATTTTCCATTGTGGCAAATATATATATTTTTTCGTCATCTTTTTTTTTTTTGAGGATGCGAGGATGCATATCATGATGTTATGATGTTATTAATGTAGAGTAAGCCTTGGAAGGCCCTTCCATGAATTCCTTATGATCTGTCACAATTAAAGTTGGTACACGATGTAAAAAAATTCAATTTTACAAATCGATTTTAGAAATAGAGAATAAAAAACTTGCAAGCTTAGTATTTATAGCGGTAGGTGCATCACTTTTGTTGCTACAATAATTATGTAATGCCAACTTTTACACTTTATTATCCTTATGGAGCTAAACCGAATCGAAAAAAGAGAATTTGTTATTAATATGTGATAATACAAATTTGTTGGTTTAACCCAGAAAAGACAAGATTTTCATAGAGCAATCATAAGTTTAATTGGGCTACAAAGGAGCTAAACCAAGCCAATTTTTTCAACCTTTTTTAGAGTTATATTTAATGATGGCAATTTTTTTATTTTTTGTTAGATTTATTATGTTCATATATGTTATTTTTGAATTTAATTTTAAGTTAGGTTTAAATTAGATGAATTTAAAATTTGGGCTCATCTTTGTAACCATATTTTTATAAATGGGAAAAAAACTTCTATAATAGAGATTGATGACTAAACTTACTCCTAAGACCCTATATATATATATTTCTTGTTTGCAGAATATCAAGTGCGTGTATATATATATATATATATATTATAGAAAGCCCAACAAAGGCTAATATATTAACCAGAAATAAAGATACAGATACAATGTGTTAGAGGGCCCAAACATGACACCCTGCCAACACCAAAACCACAAGTGGTTCCAAAACTAGAAAATACAGAAAAGTACATTAGAGACAAAGAAAATGTTCAAAAATGTTGAAATACATAGTATCAGGTGGCTAGAGAGCAACACAATTTGGTTTTGCCTCTACCTCTGGTTCTGGGGAAGGAGAAAGCTAATAAGGTAAGATGATTGTTATTGCCAGTAGTAACCAATGTATCATCTAAAATGTTCCCGAGCTGGAGTCGGCCTCCATTCTTTTTCTTCCTCTTGGAATAGACCTGTCATTCCTCTTCCGAGGATTGGCTCATCTGATCTTGTTCTAAAGTGTGTTGGAGATGTGCAGATTGTTGAACATTAGAAGCAAGTACATGTTGTACCGGCTGATCTGTTATATGTAAATATATAAGATCCATCACGATGTCGGCTGCGGTTGAGAGCTCTGCTAGGGTTTCCAATGGTGATTTCTGTCGCATTTGATTCTGTCGCTCGAAGGAGAGGGCTCGCACCTCGCCTCTGTTTCGTCGACTCTCGCTCCTCATCCTTCGCTTCGTCCCGACTTTACTGCGTCTCTTCGACGCCGACAGCTCACGTCTGCGTCTGTTGTGTCTCGTTCATTTTTGTCGCATCTGATTCTGTTGCAGCTCGCGTATGCGTCGGCATCTGTTGCGTCTGCTTCGTTCTTCTGTTTCGACGCTGACGTTCGCCTCTCTCTGCCCGAAAGCTTCGGTTTAGTTCGTTTGCGTGTCAGAGACCTCGCAACAGGAGTACGCCAACAGCATTCTAGCGGGTGGATCTCCCTGCTCTGATGGCGCTCCCTTCTTCTTTGGTTGAACCTGATAAAGCCTCCTTTGGTGGAGTCGGTGGTTTTCTTCTCCTCGAGCTATAAGGATTCTCATGATAGTTCATGTGATTGCCTTTTTGTTAGAAGAGTAGGAAATATGGGAAAACAACAATATTTTTCTCTGACTTAGAAATTTCAACCCTGACAGAGAAATTCAAGCTTGCTTTTATTGGAAAATTTCAGTGGGGGCACCCACTTATGAAAGTTATCAAAATGAGTGTTAATGATCTTAAACTAGTAGACAAATGGAAAGTGAAACTCAAGGATGTGAGACGTGTTGATTCAACTAACCGCGACTGAAGACTACACTCTGATTTTCTCCAAAAAAATATCTTAATATTGCAGACAAGTCAATAAAGTTACTCAAGTGGTCTCATGATTTTGACCCAAATTATGAAACTTCCACTGCACCGGTATGGTTTAGTCTACCTGGTCTCAAGTTGTACTTTTTTCATCATCAGGTTCTCTACTCTATTGGGGTCATTCTTGGGGACTCTATAAAGCTAGATCTACCTACTTACAATCTAACCAGATCTTCTGTGGCCAGAATACTTGTGGAAAAGGATATTATTTTATCTGATATTACTGAAGTCTGACTGGGCACAACTCATAATGGATATTGACAACAAATCGTCATGGAACACAAACCTTCTTATTGTACCAATTGTAAGATGTTTGTGCATAACTTTGATAAATGCCACAGGATTGGTCTAACCCCACTGCTCTATACATATCTGTTTCACCTGGGGAGGATACTACCACAAGACAGGAGGTGTCTGTTGCCCTTGTGGACCCCCCTGACACAATATTGAAGGACTATTACCTACAAAAGATAGTGTTTAGACTTATAAGCAGGAGAACCTCGCAGCTCCCCATCTTCAGGAAGTATCCGGTGTAGAGACAACTCGTACTTCACATTTATTAGAACCTATTGTGGGTACAACGATTGGTAATCGTTCTGCTACAACTCTACCACCTCATCAGACTGACTCTTCGGATGAGGAATGACAAATTTACATTTCCAGGAGGAAGAAGAAGAATGAAGATCTACTTGAGCTCAGGATTTTTATGGATGATATTTTGGTTACTTCGGGTAAAGGTACGCACCTTACCAATTTGTTAGTTGGATCCCTTCAAAGAAATAGGGGCAGTGGCATGACTAAATTGGGATGACCTTCATTTTTTCCGTGTCTTGGTGGTTTTTGGCTTTTTTGATTTTTATATGTACCCTTTTTTTTGAGTTTTTTTGTATGTATTGTACTGTGTGGGTTGGGTGCCTATTTTTGGGCCCACTCATACAACATATCCGTATTCTTTTCTATCTAATATATTAGCCCTTAGGCTTTTTTAAAAAAATATATATATATAAAGATCCAAATTATACATGCACATCACTCCAAGTTGTGCAAACAAATTAATTTAACCACTCCCTCCAATTTTAGCATGAAAGCAAACTCCCCTCTCCCATGATCCCCTCCTTTTCTTTTGTCAAACTTAATTATCCATGCTCATCTCAATTTCTTTCATCGTCTTATTTGTCCCACATTTCAAAATATTCACAATGCCATTTTGTTTACCCACCCATCTAAATTCCACTTTGTTTGTCAAGCCTACTAAAAAATAGCTTGTCATAATAAAGCCTTGCACTTGCATTTTTCTCTTGATTGCTTTCTTATCGAGTAGACATTGCTTGCAAATTGTGTCAGTGCTTGTCATGTTTTTTGTTCACAATTTCTATGTCGTCTTTCACAAATTTTGTCTCTCATCTTGCAAACCTTACTTTGAACTTTGCATCTTCTATCAATGAGCCCACTAGCACTCTTTTTAGAGTTAGCACTCAATTATTCATGCTGGAATTTCACTCCACCTATTCCAATGATTTGGAACTTCAGCCATTGCAAATCAATGATTAGACATCGAATATATACTATTTTTGGTAAAAAATTTAGCCATATGTCTTATGTTTGGATGCCAAGGCAACCTATTGGAAGAACTACATTTTTAAACTGAGACTTCAAGAGGTATTTCCAACTTGCAAGTTTTGATACCCTCGTATTATCTTAGTTAAAAGTGCATCAGTATATTTTGAAAATCAATATTATTTTGCGCCTCAAGAAGGTTGTACTTACAGATTTGAATTTTAACATGTGTTCTACTAATTCGTCTTACGAAAAACCCTAGATCCATATTAAGTAAGCTTATGATAAGTGATGCAATGCAGCAATCGAACTCAAACATGCACTTTTACTAGATTCCATGCAAATTCATTACATAAGGTTTACATTTTTTTCTAGCCCCAGTAATCTTTGAACTTTTTTCAATTCAACAGTATATGCTTGAAATTAATGATTTTCCTCTATATGAAAATGGTGCTTACAATGTCATACCCCATTACCTTTGCATCTATTTTGTTTTAATTATGCTACATTATTTGTAGTTCTTTTGCACGAGTTATTCACTGATATCAGCAAATTATTTTCCATGATTAATGAAATTTCTACAAAGGTCATGCATGTTCATTCTAATGTTTGGGGCAATAATGGTAAAATTTACCTTAACTTGTATCTATCATGTACATTTTATGCATTCTACATGGAATAGATTACCCATTGTTACCTCAAAATCTTATATTTTTAAAGAGCTGGCTTTTAGTGTGTTTCTACTTGCATTAGTTTCAATTACGAATGTGAATCATAATTTTTATGCTGAGTTTTGTTATCTTATAAAAGTCACTTGAGGTTCCATGCATGTTTCTTACAGTTGCCTTTGCATAGCGATTATGCATTCCCGATAGCAGCACCATTTTTTATATTTAAGCTGCTTCTTCAATTCCACTATCACCCACCATATGAATTTTGGGCGACCCCTGATAAACTGCATCATATCTCGTGTCCTTTTGAATGCATATCTCAGCATAAGACTTGGCGAGAGTTGATTGTATCACAGAGGTCTTGATAATGTTCTTCAGACCAGTTGTAATTGTATCTAAAACATTTGTTGATTAGATTTTTTTCAATTCTATTAGTTATCTGAATTGAGGAAATGAGTAAAGTGCTAAAATGGTTCCCCGGATATTTACACGGGACCATTTTACTCCTAGAGTCTATAAAAGTGCCAAACTAATCCCTAGAATATCAAAGCTGACTATTTTAGCCCCTATAAATAAAATACGGGGACTAAATTAACATTTTTGTAGACTTTTGTGCCATGTTTACCTTGGCAAAAATCAGAGGTTCATTTAATACTTTTCTCTTAAAGAAATATTAGAATTTAATATTTATGCAATTTTTAAGTTTAAAGCCCTAAATCAGGTAATATATCCTTAAAACATGTAGTTTGTGTGTGTGTGTGTCTATTTTTTTTATAGAAATCCCAAAAAGGCTAATATATTAGTCAGAAAGAAATATATAGATACAATGTGTTAGAAGGCACAACATGACACCTTGCCAACACCAAAACCAGAAGGAGTTCCAAAACTAGAAAATACAGAAAAGTATATTAGAGACTAAGAAAAAGTCTAAAAATATTGAAATACATAGTATCAGGTGGCTAGAGAGCAACCCAATTTGGTTTTGCCTCTGCCTCTGGTTCTAGGGAAGGAGCAAGCTAATAAGTTGGTAAGATGATTGTCATTTGCAGTAGTAACCAATGTATCGTCCAAAATGTTTCCGAGCTGGAGTTGGCCTCCATTCTTTTTCTTCCTCCTGGAATAGACCTGTCGTTCCTCTTCCGAGGATTGACTCACCTGATCTTGTTCTAAAGTGTGTTGGAGATGTGTAGATTGTTGAACATTAGAAACAACTACATGTTGTACCGGCTGATCTGTTATTGGATCAAAAGAGCCCTCTCGTGTTTCTTGACATATATGTGAGTCTTCTTCAGTAACAGTGGGTGGTATAAGCACAACTGGATTTGTAGGTATAGTATGTTGTTCTTCTTCAGGAACTGTGGTGTTGGGAAGAGGATCAGGTTGCATCTTCTCAACAGGGATAATAGGTGGTTGTTCTTTAGCGATATTCAGCCTTAGATGAGGATGTAAACGATTGAAAATAGTAGAGTTGTGGCCAAACATACTACAATGAGAGCAATAAGGAAGGTGTGATTCGATTTCAACATTTTGTCAATACTCGTTGTGAGTGGTTCCAATCCACACCTCATCCGGAGCTGGTTGAGTGATATCCCTCTCAACTAACACACAAGCCACAGAGGGTCTGGTGATAGCAAGCGTAGGACTATCAACTCTGAGAGGCTTACCGTAAGCAGTTGCTAAGGAGTAAAAAATTTTCAAGTTGAACAGATGTAATTTTAACCCGGGGCGAATTCAACAGTCAACTTCAGAATATTCATATAACGGTTATCGATCTTGATAACTTTCCGAGAAAATATACGAGTGTAATCGACATCATGAGACAACTGAATCAGTATATGTCGACCGTCAAGTAATCCAATATTCCACCAATATTCAAACTGCCAATAGCTTTATAGCCTCAAAATCTTTCCGAATGATCTCCAGTTTTGGGTGACCATACAAAAATTTCTCCACTAGAGCAAAGCGCCAGGAGGACGCGAGAGTACTGGTTTCAA